GGTTACGTCTGATAGTTTCTTGAAATAGGGCGACACCCTAAGGTGAGACGTGGCTCTCTGGCGCGGTGCATTGTGGTCTGACGCCTCTTGTTTGGCCCACACTCTGCAAAATGGCGACGTCCCTGGGATCCAACACCTACAACAGACAGAACTGGGAAGACGCGGTACGTTTAATCGGCTTTACGGTTTGCTGGGCGGGAAGTGTGAATAAAACACATCGGTTTCGGATTAAATTCCGAGAGTGAACGTTTTTATTTAAACCCGCCGGTTTGCCGCTAACTTGGCGGGTTTAGCCAGCGTTAGCCTCCTGTTAGCTAACAGTAAAAGCGTGGCTGCTCTTTCCATAACAATGTTTCCGCCTGTCGACGTTCATTCATAAAGCAGCACAGTTCATCTGAAGCCAGTAACAGTGACATAGAGAGGATAACGCCTGAGATTGGCCTCAGAGGAAACTATCGCGCTTTATGTGGCCTTAACGTGTTTTGTGCTAAAGTTAGCCATCTGAGCTAATTGAGGCTAGCACTAGCAGGCTAACAATAATAATAATAATTTTAATAAAAAGCAAGTTGTGTGAATTTACGTCAGCCAGCTAACAAGTTCCACTCGTTATGCAGAACCGAGCCGATCCGGGACAAAATCCAGCCCGTTGTTTTTGGATTGGGTCCTCGACAATGTGCTTCCGTATCATGAAGATTGAATCTGTAATGTTAGCGCTCATTGAACCGGACTGACACACCATTGGTAACTCTATCTCAAGTCTGATGGAAATAAAGACAACAAATGGTCGATGTTTTATTTCATCCCAGCTTCTCGTTTGTCGCACATCGCACAGACAGGCTGATCTTTGTAGTGGAAACATCAATTAGAGCTCAACTCAAGATGTTACCTTAAACCTTAACTCCTTAATGTATTACTTGAGCATCAAACCTTTGCCTATGTGAACCTCCTATAGGCTTCATTACCCGACTATATAAGGCAACAAATGAAGTTTCCTTCCATGAGACAACAGGGCCTTTAGCCAATGTTGGTTTTATTAAGACACCAGAATATAAACTTTTGCAACCCTAGACTAGGTAGTTGACGTTTGAGCCACCAGAGCTGCTTATATTTAGGTGTTTGGCTGATGCTGTCGCTGGGATGGATTAAGGCAAGGTCATTTTCTGCAGCTTGCACTTGGATTGAAACAGCATCCTTCAACAGATGGCAAAGTATGAGTGAGCAAGTCCCATTGCACTTGCTGTATTCACACATGTAACTTCGCCAAGGTGCCCACAGCAGAAAGTGAAGCACAGAATGTCGGCCAAGTGGCTGCTTCGGATAAAATCAGAGGACTGTTGGATGGATAACAGATTGGGCGCTTGGTTTTTACTAAATGAGTATTTGTTTTCCTTTGTCTCCCAGGATTTTCCGATTCTGTGTCAGACATGTTTAGGAGAAAACCCTTACATCCGTATGGTGAGTGGGCATTGCTGTGTCATCGTGATGAACTCGAGGTTATTTTCTTGTGCTGTTGTCAATTGATGTGCAGATTCAAATGTGTTTATGCTTGTTTTTTTTACAGACCAAGGAGAAGTATGGGAAAGAATGCAAGGTATGTTTTGCATTGATATGTTTATTCTTGGTTATGCAACCTACAATGTTGTTTAACATAAACTTGTGACACTATATTCCACACAGGAATATTATTTATTTTTCATTCTTTGCCCATCAGATCTGCGCTCGACCATTTACTGTGTTCCGGTGGTGTCCAGGGACACGAATGCGTTTCAAGAAGACAGAGGTCTGTCAGACCTGCAGTAAAATGAAGAATGTTTGTCAGACATGTCTGCTGGACCTGGAGTATGGTGAGTTTATGTGGCTGATAATTATAATCATAATTTCGCATGTAAACTTTTCTTTTTTTGGGCTTGCTTAAGCATTTACCCATCTGAGTTTAACCCCCTTGATACACCTTTTTACCTCTTTTACAGGTTTGCCTATCCAGGTCAGAGACACTGGGCTGTCAGTTAAAGATGAGGTTCCTAAGTCAGATGTGAACAAAGAGTATTACACACAGAACATGGAGAGAGAGGTATAATTGCTTTCTGGTTTAGATAAAAAATGATGGTCCCTATGATTTTCTCATAGTTGCGTCGGCTAAAACTAGCTTGTGCAGTTTCCCTGAACACCATTAAATAACGAGTATCAGCTAAACCAAAACAGAACATCCCTTTTGTAGTTTGTTTTTTTCTAAGGTTGGACATTTTTTTTTTTGTCATTCATCCCTCGTGTCTCTTTGTTCTCAGATAGCCAACTCTGATGGCACACGGCCGGTGGGCCAGCTCGGTAAAGCGCCAAGCTCTAGTGATATGTTGCTGAAACTAGCCCGGACCACACCATATTACAAGAGGAACCGGCCGCACATCTGCTCCTTCTGGGTGAAGGGAGAGTGTAAGAGAGGAGAGGAGTGTCCCTACAGGTGAGTGGCACTTTATAAAACAGGCTACAGCTTAAGGATCACAGACTTGGTGCTGTGTCGTCAGCAGTGTGTGCTGGAGCTGATTGTACCTTATCTTGATTTTACATTTATTAGTACTCATTACAATAGGCAAAGTAGAAATCATCATTCTCCTCCTTCTTTTCACACAGGCATGAGAAGCCCACAGATCCTGATGATCCTCTAGCAGACCAGAACATAAAGGACCGTTACTATGGCATCAATGACCCAGTGGCTGACAAGCTGCTGAAACGGGCCTCAACTATGCCCCGATTGGACCCACCAGATGACAAGTCCATCAGCACCCTCTACATAGGGGGTCTGGGAGATACTGTCACAGATGGAGATCTCAAGTAAGGGTTTCTATTTTATAGCATCGCACAACTTCCTGTGGCCATTTAGGGCAGGTTTACTCATTTTGTAGATATACAAGAATGCAATTCAAGGACTGCTACAATTTTAAACCTTACCTTTCAGCATTGATGACATTTACGTCTTATTGCAGGAGTCACTTTTACCAGTTTGGTGAGATTCGCACCATTACCATAGTTCAGAGGCAGCAGTGTGCCTTCATCCAGTTTGCCACCCGGCAGTCAGCTGAAATGGCCGCTGAGAAGTCCTTCAACAAACTCATCATTAATGGACGGAGACTCACTGTCAAGTGGGGAAGGTAAGAAGCTGATCAAGAAGGTAAAATGTGAACAGTCGGATGTCCGTCAACAACCTGCTTCCCGGACACTGGATTAATCCTCATGCACTCATTCATCGTGTATATGCCACCCAAAAAACGGTTCTGCTGATGAGAATTCTTAGCTTTCATACACATGGGAAGAGCTGTGAAGATTTATAATGATTTGCATATTAAACGCTGCGTTCAGACGCACATGTGTTTCAAAGTAACTGCCTGGAGTAATGCTCCCATCACAGGCGCAACTGAAAGTAAAACAGATTCTGAAATATCATTACAGACACAGTAAGAGCTCTACCGTGGCAAAGAATTTGTGTAGAGCAGGACTTCTGAAATGTTCTGTTCTCAACACAATTCTGCTGCAGTCAACGGTGTATAACAAAGTGATGTGATTTATATATAATGTAAATTGTTTTTTTAGGTCTCAGGCAGCGAGAGGGAAGGAGGGCATCAAAGAAGGTGTCAGTGAGATGGGCACCAGACTCGATCCCGTACCTGGACTGCCTGGAGGTGAGTAACTCAGGGAGAGTTGGAATTTGTGTGTGTACATATTGACATAGTTATGTGAGGGTAATTTAAAGTAGTACTTGCATATATTGTGTATTTGTTAAGTCTTGTCTTTTTGGTCATATATAGTAGAAAATAATTGAGGATGATAGTGGGAATTATTGCTGAATTGTATTTGTTTGCCATGCTGTTTCTTTAATTCTATTTCTCTTCGGGTTATAGCTCTTCCTCCACCACCAGCTTTAGATGAAGAGGCTCCTGCAAACTACTTTAACCTGGACCCTAGCTCCTCTCCTGCAGTCATGAACATTGCTCTGCCCCCACCTCCGGGCATCAACCCGCCTCCTCCAGGTAGAATCAAAACCATGATCTCATAGATGCAGCTTATATCACATTTAAAAATGTCATAAAATAATATTTTTTAGATAATCGTGTCAATGTTATACCACTATTAACTTTGGTTATCCTGATCTTTCAGTTTGTTTACACAATTAATGTTTGCAAACCTCATAACATAGCACGGTGTAAACTATTTAAAGGTAGAAAAGCTAGATACCTAATTCTGTGTTCTCTTTCTTTTTCATCTTCTCAATCAGGCTTTGGGCCTCCAATGTTTCACCACATGGGTCCCATGGCTCCACCTATGCCTCCTCCAATGAGCATGAGACCCCCTGGTCAAATCCACTACCCCTCCCAGGATCCTCAGCGTATGGGTGCCCATGCCGCACATGGCTCACGTCATGGTGATTAACTGCTAGAGTGAAGTCATACTGTGATTCGGTGTAATTCTTTTCTATACATCAAACCTGGTCAGGTGCTTTCACTTCAGATTCAGTGTGGCTGAAACCTGCAGACGACTCCTGCGAGAAACGCACTGCATAGAAAGTTTCTTCTTACAGAATAACATCTGATTTATTATGCCACCTGCAGTGCAGTGAATGAACTGAACGAGGACCATCTGTGTCTGGAGAGACAACAACCCGGATCTTACAAGATGAATTTGTCACTACTCGCAGTTAAAAAGTACCAGAACAGCATCTGAACAGTGGAAGTTAAGATAGACTTGATACGTGAGGTTGGGACCATATGGTTTCTACAGAATCCTGTGGTTGGAACCTTTGTACATATAAAATGTATACTGTAGGTTAAACTTGTATTTGTCACATGGAGTAAAATTCTGAGGAACATCTTGAAACCTGTTAATTTTTCAGTTACCCTTTTTTTTTCTTTATTCCACAGCATAATGGCATTTTACTGACTATTGTAAGACTTTCTTTTAATGTTGTTTTCACTTGTCATTAAAATGACACAATTTTGTCATTGATCATCTCAGAGTGCACATTATTTATTAGTACTTTTAACTGTTGTCAAAGCAGAGTTATCTACACCTGCAAAATGAGTAGCAGACAAAGTGGGGACAAAGATGTAAACCCACGTGAAAGAGGGTAGTCCAGTAATTAGACATTGATGGGATCAGGTACAGCTAAGTAATGTAACAAAAATAAAAGGCTAGGTAGAGGCGTTGAGCCTGTGGCAGCATTGTCAGGGACTCTACTGTGGTAATGAAATAATTGCAACATTGAGAGCTGCTAGTCAAACCACTCAGCAGTAGCAAACCACTTTATATATCATGCAGGAGTGTTTTCTCTCCCCTGCAGTGCCCACTGATTAACAGAGGGATCATCTTTTGTAGGAGGAGAGGAGCAAGCATAGGTCAGTGCTTCAGTCTTTAGCTGATCAGCCCTTTTTTCATAGTTCATTAGATTCAGGGCAGTAATCCATTCCCCATCCCTTGGGTGCTCTGTTGAAGTTTGGCCGTTGACACATGCGCTTCTGAGCAACACTGGCCAGCTTCTGGGATTCCACTGCTTCAAAGCTAATCACTGGGATCACCCTCTTGCTGGCCATAGCTCCTCCGAATGGCATGGCAGATCTGAAAGACAAAGAGAGGAGTCTTTAGTAAGCAGGCCGAATGCATTGTGCTTGATGTTCCTGGCAGAACAGGACCCTACTGTATCGTATGACTCCTTCCCATAAAGGGTGGGGGATGAGGAGGCAGGGGGGGCTTTAGATGATACATAATACCCAATCTGGTCATCAGTCTGATTTTAACTGGTCCTTTTAACAGGAGATAACCACCTGGGACTTGGGATGGTTCAAGTTGGGTGTGTGATGCACTCAACCTTCTCTACTTGTGTAGCTGTTGAGTTCAGATTTAATTAAGGCTTCACAATTTTATAATAATCTTAGGGGCGTAAACAGATCCGTCCACAGGGGGTACAGTTCCAGACTGGCTGGCAGAAACCGAGTGATTGACAGCCTTAATTGAGTAAAGACTTGAGTTTGTCTTTCATATATTCCCCATTTCTCCATCTGCCCAAGCTCAACCTTTTGTACTGCCTCGCTGGAGTGATGCAATTCCTTGTGTGCCATGAGAAAGGTGATTCCCTTTCGTGCGCAATATGTCTTGTGGGGGGCATTAAAAGCTTGCAGACCCCCGGTGGATCATCTTTCAAGTGCAGTGGTTCAAAATAGCCATCACGCAGCCACACTCCAAGGAGGTGCAAGCCAGAGACTGGATTCAATTTCTAACTGTGGAAACATGGAGTGGAGCCGAGGGAAGAGATGATTGTGATGGATAACACGGTTAGGTCATCTGTCGGTGAGACGGGTGGGTCTCAATGCCTGTGCTCCTAACTGAGTAGGTTTGAACAAGTCTTGATTTATTTTTTAAATGTTTTTGGGGGTTTTTAATGCCTAATAAGCGATAGTGACAGGAAAGTTAGATTTACCTATTGAAACACCTGTAGTTGGCAGGCTGTAGTCTTTGTGGGAGCTGGGGCAGCTGGGTATTGAGGGCGTTCAGGAGCTCTTCGTTGCCTCCCAAAGCTTCCGTCCATGGGGAGCTGTAGGATTTGGGGATTACTGTTGTGTTGAACTTCTCATGAGGAATGTTCTTCAGAGGGCCAGAATATCCTGAGAATAAAAATAGGGGGTACAAATAACAAAACACTGTGGATAAAGTGAAAGCCACATTCCTTTAATTTAGAGTAATTTATATTCAAAAGAAGCAAAATAAGGTCCCCTGTGTTGAGAAAAACGGATATTCTTTGGGTTTCGAAACTAATTGCAAACCCCATTCAATATCAAACTTCAAGAAAAGCAAGCCCCGACAAAGCACGCACAGATCTAATATACATATAAATTCCTTTGATGTCTCTCCCGTCAACAATAGGAACTACAGTAATTGGATCTCAGTATGAATCCCGGATAATAAACAGAGCTTAGTTCACTGTCAGTCAGATGGGAAGCAGTGCCTTCTGACAGCAAATATGGTTACAGACAACCGCTTTCTGCAAACTGCCAACTCTCCTGGTGCTGATAATAATAAAACTAATTTATTTACTCAGTACATTTCCATATAAAAACTGAACACTAGCAGAGTGAAATACAGTGTCCATGCATTGCACAAGCATTTGGCGTTGCGGTGAGCTAGTCTTATGTCTTGTGGCAGTAATGGTAATCCATTCTTTACCATGTATTACCATTTACCTGGAGCGAGGACGTCAGGACTGCCCTTCTTTGCTACAGTCTTCTGAAGGTTCATGAGCAGGCTATGCTTACCAGGGATGGAGAAAGCATGGTTCTCTTTTCCTCCCTGTGGCTCTGCGGGGATCTGCAGGGGAGGAGCGGCCTCCATATGGACCTGGGAGAGGGGCAAAGTTAGATTTTTGCATACTCGAGAGGATGTGCCAAAAGGCAAACATGCAGAAATAATAATTAGAATAAGAGTAAAAAAAGAAGAATTAGGGAAAAGAATAAAGTATAGAATAGATTTAAAAAACATAAATATATGTAACATCAGAAAAGGTTAAAGTATATTTTATATCTAAATGTAAAATTTCACATTTTTAGGCAGACTGTAATAAAAGAAATGCAATGCAATTTTATTCTCAGAGACGCTTTGGACAGAATGGAGACCGTTAAAGTTGGTCTTTAAGTCTACAAATATTGTAACACACTTGATTAAAGGGACACTCCACTGATTTTACACATTAAGATCAGTTTACTTGTAGCAAGGAGTACTAGCCAGCCTGTAATAACACCAGTTTAATGTTTTAAAAAGTAACCCTGATGATGTTGTGATCAGAGTTGTCTCACCTTGGGTTTGAGACATTTCAACACAGGTACATAATTTTGGATGTGTAGGTTCAGTGGATAGGAGTCAATGTGTGCTACGAGCCATCTCTCAGTTCCTTACATTGTTGTTGTTGTAGGCACCATTGGCAATGTTCTCCAGTGTGAACCTCTCGACTCTCTTCTGTCTCTCTTGAAACATACGAGAACCTCGATTAGATGGAAGGTTGAGTTCCTCCATCATCACATCCTTTGGAACGCTGATCTTCTTCCCCAGGTTCAGACCTTCGACACATTATATAACAACACCTCATTATGTAGGTCCAATACCCACGTTTTCTAATAAACAGTACGAACCCAATATGTAATAAATGTTCTCACATTTTGTACAAAATGTGTGATTTGCACTTTTATTAATGAACTGCATTTTGACTAAGCTGAAGCTTTTTGATGGTCTTTTTAGGGAGCCCTATCTGAAGACCATTGCAGTAGTCATACCTGCTAGAAATAAAAGTGTGAATGAGTTTTTCCAGTTTGGCATTTCACATGATGTCCCAGAGTTTGGCTATATTTGTAACATAACAACAAACTGAACTTGTTGCTTCCTTTATGTGGCTATTTACACAAAGACCAGCGTCAACTACACCATCAACAACACCAAGGGGGACAACACAGGTCGGAGGAGCCTAATTTAATATCTGGGAAGTAGGTTTAATTAGGTTAATTGTTATAAAAATATAACATATAACATGAAGACATCCATTTTGGTTGGTTATTACATAACGTTCCATATACATGTACATTTTCATCGTAAAAACAGAGAAATGTATAATTCAAACAACATTCATTACAAAATTCAGCACATTATTAGAAATGCATAATGAAAGGAAAATGTATTACATGTTGTCAATTTATTACATATACATGCGGTGTTAATGCATAATACAATGTTACAAGGTTCTTTAACAAGTGATTACATTTAATATCCTTACACATTTTTAAATTGGCAGTATTTGGGGGTAGAGAAATTTATTTGCTGCAGTTTATTATGCTGTGTGGCATCAGGCATAGACACATCCTGACATTCTGTTGTTAGTGCCAAGCCAGTGATAACAGTAACTTCCAGTCATTTGGAAGACAGAAACAGACTAATAAGGACCTTTGGCAAATCTTAATGTCTCCTCTGATCTTCTTGTTTCTGTCAAGTTTAAACAGCTGAGGGGCACAGAAATAAAAAAGCCAAATTGTGCGCAGCATCACTAAGTTGGTATCTACACAGCTTTGCTCAAGGTCTCTTCTCATGTTATATCATGGCACAGCAGAGGGTCTGAAATAGCCTCGAGATGATGTCAAGGGGTGCGTAATGTGTGTTGTGGGCCAGGGTTGCATGGGTAACTGAGCATATAAATAGGATCTTTGGATGAAAGACTCAAATAAGTGTGTATGGCCCTCTTTCTCACACATGAAAAGTGTTAGGAGAAGTCTGGGCATGTGCCACCCTTGAGGAGCTGCCTTTGATCGGTGTCTGTAAAATTCAGTTGTTGGAGTCACATTTTGCTGAGTTCAGGGGACTTGGTTTCAGAGCTGGCGGACAGCGCTGGAAAACAAACAGTGCAACTGGGATGGTCCCCGTTGGAATGTTCGGATAAATTCAACAACACACCAGCACCCCTGGGATTTGGGTGCAGTGCGTCGTACGTGTCTCCAGGCGGTGGACACACTTTGATGTCTGGCTCAATTACATCTGACAGCCTTGCCTGTGATCAAATACTAGGAGAGTTTGGATATGGGGTGTAAATACCTACCAAGTTGTTGACGCAATATGTAAACCGGTACGCAGACTAATTAATGTATTAGTTTACTTCCACATTTCATGTATGCGTATGTCAGTTCTGATTCAAAAAATGTTCATCAACTGGAAAGGAAAATCAAATCAGTGCATCCAAACTTACCTCCCCTGGCCTCTTTAGACAGAGCCTTAGCCTGCAGCATCCTCTGCCTAGTCACGTCATCCATGCCTGACTGCATCATCATCATAATCTTCCTCTGATGGACACACCTGTTTCATGTTTCATGTAAATTATTAGAGTGTTTATAAATTGAAGTTTGTTTTATGATACTTTATGATACTATTTTCATATATTATTTACAACTGGAAATCTCTTCTTCTTATAGTAAGTGAGAAAAGCAAGAAAAACACATTTCTATAGGTCCATTTACCATTTACCATTAAGGGTGCCTCCATTTTGTTATGACTAATTTAATCCAGTTATGTGTTTCTCCTATGTGGGTCCAGGCAATACTTTTACGGATATTTTGCTTAAGTTTCTACAACTAAACTACCTTTCTTACTTACTTATGTGAACTGTCTTTTTTGCATTACATAAAAAGAAATCATAATGTCACATTGTAGCAAAACCACAGTGCATCTTGACATTTTAAAGTTGTCTCTCCAGTGTCATAAAAAGCATGATTTTATCAGTTCCCTGTTTCAGTTCATAAGAAATACCTTCTGTCACAGCTTATTTTGATAGTAAATGCCTACTCTCTCCTCAGCCCTTACCTGTGTCTCCTGCCTGTCTGTATGTCGGTTGTTAGAGGTGGTCTGGTTGGTAGGGTGGTTTCTCCCGCACTGGAGCTGGGATGCTTCCACACTCCACTCTGACACTCCTCAGCAGAGAAGGAACAGTCTGTATAAACCTCATCCCAGGATGCCTCGGGGGCTTACCTCACTGGGTTATTTTAGCAGAGGGATAAGAGAGTGAGGATGGATGGAGGGAGTGTTTAGGAGGGGGGTACAAAGGGGCGATTCAGGGTAAGGGGCAAGTATAAAGATTTACATCCTGACCTCGAGCCTCTTTGATAATAAAAATCTGATCCCCCCCCCCTCTCTGTGTGCGTGTGCACATGCTAACAGCTGCTGTCCAGACAGTGACACTGAGCTCTCAGAGAGGCCAAGCACCCAACCTCTCCACTGCAAAGATAGACACACACAAACACAATTTCTATTTTCTCTCTCTCTTTTCTCCCCTCTGCAAAGCCCTTTGTAACTACTCTGCCATATACACTTAGTTCCTTACAAACACACTCGCCATGTGCTTCCCATATACAGACAGTTTTATGGGAGCAGCTGTAAAAATGATGGGGTCGCCTCGATCAGAGGTTGCGATTCAGTTCTCCAGTTGGGGGTTAAAGGTTAAACTCTGTTGCAGTTTGCTCTTCCATTTTTGATGGTGTGACGTCTTTTTCTTTCACACTGCTGTGAGTTATGGGCATTCTTCATACCTCTCAGATGCTCAGTTTTGTGTTGTAATAAATAACAATACAATGTTTTTACTGTGTGTTTTGATCTATTATGGCTCACCAACTTCTGACAAACTCCAGTTGCGAATTCTACATACATTTGCATGTTGTGTTACACTAGAAGTGATGCCTTTTATCTTTATATTTAGTTGCCCTTTTTGAACTCAAGTTAGTTAAAGTCAAGTCTTTATCGAGCAGCCTTTTTTGCCCCACAAATTGATTCATTGAGCTCAGCAGGAGCCTGGAGGGAAAAAACATTTTCCTTATCCCGGTTGAGATTGGATATCGATTTTGCACTGCACTGCTCCACAATGCCACTATCCCCCAGTGGGAAGCCTCCAAGCCTCTGAAAGAAAATGTGGAGTCATCCTGAGTCACAGAAAATCATCTGTAGACACACAATTGAAGTTGAATAGTTGTGGAGCATTAAGGATTTATTTAAGAGTGGTTGTTCAGTAGAAACGGCTATTTTGCTTTATAAAGAGAAACCAATAGGTTAGTAGCCTCCTGTCAACAAATGCAGTTTCAGCTTTTGTGTGGCGCTGTATCACACAGAGCCAGTGATTAGAATCAATCTGTCACTTCCAGTTCATTAAAACCTGTTGTTTATTGCAGTTCATTACAAATGGAGCTATTATGAGACATGTCTATTGGGAATTCAACTATTTAAAAAGGACAATAACAAGATAATGGAAACAGGACAAAAACTTGTGACTGGTGTCATCTGTGTTTGAGAGGTGGCCTCCACAGTGTGTTCATGTCACATAGAGAGAGGTGCACAGCCACCAGGTGCTGACAGCTGACACAAGAACAATAAAGGCCCATCTAGACTCAAGGGCTTGTGTAATTAGGGGACCTTTAAAATCGTTAGTCCTGTTGGCTTTCAGATGAAACCTTATTTGGCTGGCTAGTCTGAGGAAGGTCAAAAGTCCACAGGTGGTGTAGAGAGCAAGAGAAAACAAAAGCAGCAATATTCAGTATATGACTTGTGATAGCTTCCTGCTGAAAGCCAAATGCATTCAAATTCAGGTTGTGGCACTTAAAAAGTCATCATTCTGAACTTTCCTTATTCGCTCGCAGGTGCCTTTGGGAGGACTGTTGGAAGTCAATCAGTTGGGGAGCTGTCTTGACAGTGCTCAGTTTGAGCTTCAATCCAGAGAGACATAATGTACGGGCTGTTGTGTGAGAGTCTTCATGACTTCATCAAGGAGTCTTACGGAGATGATGTGTGGAAGCTGGTCAGAGAGAGAGCAGATGTCAGGTTACACTCTTTTGTCACCCACCAGGTACAGTGTCAATGTTTCTGAAATGAATAATTCTGTATGCATGCATTGAATCGTGTTTATTTGCTTTGTGCATCCAAGTCAACCTGTCTGCCATTTCTGTCACTTTGTCTGCTTTTGTCTGAAGCTTTATAGTCCTGATGTCAAAACATATGTTTTTCTCGCTGATGGTAAATGTGTGTCTGCAGGTATATAGTGAGAGTGTGATTCCCCGTATTGCAAAGGCAGCCAGTGGAGTGACAGGCACACCCTACAATGAGCTGATGAACTCCTGGGGTGTCTACTTCCTGGGCTTTGTTGGGAAGTATGGCTATGACAGAATCCTCAAGGTGAAAAAAGACTCAGAACTGTCAAAACTCTGTTGTCTTTTGGTAGACGTGTGTGAAAATGACTAATCACCCAGTGAACTGTGTATCCTTGAGACTACTATTGTGCTCATGCAAGGTTATGGTTTTGAATTTTTTGCTTTTCTCATATATCTTCTTGTGTCTTATTTTTATGTTGAAATTTCAAAACAAAATCTTTTAATCCAGTTTTAAGAGATTATTGTGAGTGCTTGTGAACACCTCTTTATGTAGTCCTTAGACAATTGAAGAAAGAATATGTAACTTGTGCAAATCAGTCAGTAGAAATGTAGCATGTCACATAAATGTCATTATTATAATGACATTATGTGTCAGTGGATTACACACAATCATTGGTTTTAGTCTCTGTCCAGCCATTCATATCAACCCTAATCTGTTTGGATTGATATTTCTGCAGTACCTTTTGAAAAATTACAAATTAAGAGTACCATAATGCACTCTGCGTGCACTATGCACTAAAGTAGAAGCAAAATATGACACATTTTTCAATTTAGTATTGTACTTTCATAAAGTTGTGGGGCGTACCAAAAATTGCAAGTCACTTTTATCGGTCAAGCTCCAAAAACCCTCAGTCCTGCAATTTTAATAATTTTGTGTGGTTGGTTAAGTGCAAGCCAAAGTAATTTTAAAGACATTAATAGGGGGTTATTTTCTCTTTCTCACTGTTTTCTTAAAATCAGTGGGGTGTCCCTTTAAAAATGCAATAATAAAAAAGGTAGAGCAACTGTCTTAAACATGAAAACCTTTGCTTCTGCCTTCAGGTGCTGGGTCGTCATGTTCGTGACTTTGTCAATGGCCTTGATAATCTCCACGAGTACCTGCGCTTCAGCTACCCCAAGGTGCAGCCTCCAACCTTCTTCTGCCAGGAGGAATCTGCCACTGGAGTCACCCTCCACTACAGGTCTGAGGCGAGGAGGAGGAAGGCAGAGGGTTGGAGTGGGTTGCAGGGGGAAGACTGATAGACTGTCAGGGATCAGACTTAAAAGTATAAGAACAGAGAGAAAGCCGTGTGATGAAATTCTGATAGACTGATATTGAATTTTCTTCCTATGTGACCTGCAGGAGTAAGCGCAAAGGCTATCTGCACTACGCCATGGGTCAGCTGAGGCAGATGGGAAAACAGTTCTACGACACCGACATTCATGTGGAGGTGCTGTCTGAGCAGATGGTTGGAGACTACTCCCATGTCACGATGAGGTCACACACACACACACACACACACACACACACACACACACACACACACACACACACACACAAAGCTTTTTTATACTGGTAGAAAGTAACATTTACAGAAACGAGTACAATTTTGAGGTACTCACTTCCTAGTAGCTACACCTCTGCAGTAAAATTCTACTGTATTATTGTGTCAGTACTATCAATCTAATAATGAGCTATATATCACTTTAGTAAAAGATTTGAATACTTCTTCCGCCACTTAACTTCAAACATTAGAAAACATATTGATCTGTATGTCTGCGCAGGCTGAATTTTGACAACTCAGCCTACCGCTACATCATGAAGGAGGATGAGGAAGAGCAGGAGATTTTGCCCATTACCTCAGACTTCTTCTTTGAAGTCTTCCCCTTTAACATCGTCTTCAGACAGGTAATCCCATTGAGTTAAATTCTAAAACTCACCATGGGCAGTTAATAAATGAAATGAAGCATTAAATGAACGAGCAGTGAGTGCAATTCATTGATTCTTTAGGACATGGTGGTGCATAATGTTGGCTCAGGCCTGGCTACAGTCTTCCCTGATCTGGATGGGAAGAAGATCAATGATGCCTTCTTGCTGGCTCGCCCCCTAGTGGAGTTCACCTGGAACATGGTAAGACATCACTTAACATGTCCCCATTTGAGACAGGAAAGATTCGAATGCTTCCAGCCAGCTCAGATGAATTTTTAGCTACAGTATTTTGCAGTAAACAACGTATCTTAAAATATCAGATATAATCTGTACACAGATCATCTCCCACCCCAACAACCTGTTTGAGATCATGTCCAAGGAGCCTGTGAAGAGAGAGAGGAACCTTCACAACCGAGTCCAGAGTAAGAGTGGGAGCCATGTAAACACTCACAGGGGTGTGTGTCTGGTGGGCGAGGACTCGCTGGCTTGTGGTCAGATCGATTTCACTGCAGTCAGTTGCAAAAGACACGCTCAGTTTCAGTTTTATTAAATTAAAAAAGAGCAGGTGTGCTGTAAAATGGATGTCTGTTCTTGTACGAGAGTTCAAACATCAACTTTAATCAACCTTTGATCCTTAAAACATTTAAACAATGCTGAATTAAAGTCGAGAGTTTAGGAGGTCTTCCAACTGCAGAAATGGAATAGTTTGATGTCTTGATTCAACTTAAATTGATTGAATATAGTGGAGCTGAGCACAGCTCTGGTTGTCATGGTTGGAGGGTGTGAATATAAATGTTTATGGTTTTGATGGTTTACCCTGTTTTTCCATAGATTCTGACTATGAAAATGCCAATCGCTCTGCTGACGTAGATGTGGAGCTCATGGCTTTCCAGTCCATCATTGGAGATGATTACAAAGGTCATGGCCTTTCTGTTATCTAAAAAGACACATAGCAAGACCTGAGCATACAGACACTGAACTAGTCAGGGTGACAGTGACAAAATAAAACCTATTAAAGACACAGACACATTCAAATAGAAAAGAGTCTCAGTTTAAATGAATAGTTTGACAAGACCGCATGTCATATCTGTATATTCAATATAAAGCAGGAGCCAGCAGAAGGCTAGCCTAGCTTAGCA